ACACTGGGGTCCTTGTCACTGTACCTCATGGCTGAAATGTTCAGAGTTTCCAGCCCTGATAGGGACGAGGCTCAGGGACCCTAATTCCTTCAGTAGCTTCTGGCTACTGCTTGGCCAAACTGGGGACAGGAGTAGGGGAGGCTAAGTTTGGACTTTTGAAAGTCAAAAAATGATGCTTTTCAGAGTGGGAACTAGCCTGTACCCTCTTAGCCTTTGAGAAGGAAAAGGCTGACATCAAAGCATTCTGCCTCTCTACCTGTGATCACCTTCTGCTGGGCCCCTATGGCCTCTTTTAGCTCTGCGTCCACTAGTTCAGTGCCTGAGCTTTGTGTCTGAGAGCTGGATGGAATGCTACATGGCTTGCCTGGCCAGTACTTGGACATCTATAGAACTGGACCATCTCCTGCTAGCTAATGTTCTATTCTGTTTTTTTATTATTATTATTATTATTTTTTTTTGGTACCGGGGAATTGAACTCCGGTCCTTTGCTCTTGAGAAGCAGACTGCAGAACCACTGAGCTAAATCCCCGGCCCTAATGTTCTATTCTGAATGGTCATACTACACTGTACAGATTTTAAATATTTTGATTAAAACTCCCAAGTGTTAGCTGGGCGTGGTGGCTCACGCATTCCAGCACTGGGAGGCAGAGGCAGGAGGATTGCCTCAAGTTCTGGGCAGCCTGAGCTACAGTAGTGAGTTCAGGGCCAGCCTGGAACTATAAAGTGAGAACCTGTCTCAAAAAACCAAAAACAAAAAAACTCCCAGTTGTTATTTATTTTTACTCTTGGTTTTAGGGGTTGAACCCAGGGCCTCACATATGCTGAGAGTTTGCTCTACCATTGTGATACATCCCTAGCCCGTCCCCCTTTATTTTTTAATTTTTTATCTCTTTTTTGGTATCGGGGATTGAACTCAGGACCTTGTGCTTATGAGGCAATAGGCTGCACCACTGAGCTAAATCCCTGGCCTGATCCTTTGTTTTTATTTATTTAATTTTTTTGGAAACAAGGTCTCACTGTGTAGCCTAGGCTGGCCTTGAACTCCCTTCAGTCCTCCTGCCTCAGCCTCCCAAGTGCTGGAATTATAGGCATGCCCCGCCTTGCCTGGCTCCATCATCCTTTAAAAAGCAGCACAGTGGCCAGGCGTGGCAGCACATGCCTGTAATTGCAGCATTTAGTAGACTGAGGCAGGAGGATCACTGTAAGTTCAAGGTCAGCCTGATCTATATAGTGAGTTCAAAGCCAACTCTGTCTCAAAAAAGAGGAAGAGCCAGGGATTTAGCTCAGTGGTTCTGCTGCCTGCCTGGCAAGCGCAAGGAACAAGTGCAAGGAAGTGGAGTTCGATCCCTGGTACGCCCCCCCCCAAAAAAAAGAGGTAGAAAAAGAAAGCAAGGAGGTATTTAAGGACTGAGGTAAGAGAGGCAATTGAAACATCAGGGCTTGTTCATAACACTTGGCTGACCACTTTGATCTAGGCAGAGACATACTCTGTCATTCTGCGGGCAAGTCTATTTGGAATTGGTGTCTATTTTATAAATACGCACTAATGTGTGTGTGTGTGTGTGTGTGTGTGTGTACTGGGGATTGAATCCAGGGCCCTTCACACTAAGCTGCATCCCTAGTTCTTTTTTATATTTTTTATTTTGAGACAGTAGCACAATCACGGGGTACATAGGCTGGTTCAAACTTTCTTTTTTGTTTTGTTTGTTTTTTTTTGAGACAGGATCTTACTGTGTAGTTGAGACTGCCCTGGAACTCACTATGTAGCCCAGGCTGGTCTCGAACTCACAGCGATCCTCCTGCCTCAGCCTCCGAGTGCTAGGATTACAGGCATGCACCACCACGCCCGGTTTAAGAACTCTTCTTTCATCTGAGCCTTTGGGCATTTTATTTTTGACAGTCTCCCTATACCTGCCCACAGCTGAACCCCACTGTCTACTTTAGGAACCTGCTACCCTCTCATCTCTGTAGATCTACAGGGTCCTATACTACCCAGCTTAACTTGTGTACCCATGTTGGTGCCAGACTGGCAGGGAATGGAGACACTTGTCCCTGTGAGGCCCCAATCCCTTCTCTTTGAGAGTCAAAATCTCTTCTGGAAGCCAGGCGTGCTGGTGCATACCTGTAATCCCAGCACTCAGGCTAAGGCAGGAGGATCCTTGAGAGTTTGAGGCCAGTGTGGGCTTACATAGTATTCAAGGCCAGTTTGGAAAATAGTGAGACCTTGTCTCAAAAACAAAACAACAACAACAGCAACAAAAAACTCCTCTGGAGTTGCATCCTGAGGCCAGCAACCTTAAGTTACCGGTGGGAAAACCCTTGACAGACCATGCTCACAGAATGTGGCCCTATTCCTGGAATAGCACAGAACAACTGAGTGTGTGTGCAGCCAGCAGGTGTCTAGCGCGTAGGACCCTCTCAGCCTCTTTTCTCAGTGCCTGGGCCTGGTCCTCAGTGTTGCAGAGTGTTTCTCTTCTGGAAGAGCTCAGGGCCCTCACAGGGCTAGGGTTCCTCTGTCCTGTGTCCACTATGAGAGTAGTAAATGCATAAACACATCAGGTTCTCAAAGGCAGGTATCTTTTGGGTGAGCCTCTCAAAAAGCTGTCACACTGAACAGCTGAGTCAGTGTCAGGGATGGCCTCAGAGCCTCTCCGAGGACATTGCTTTCAGCGGTGGTCATAGGCTGCGGCATTGGGTTGGATCTTTATGCCCTAGATCTGTGGTATAAAGTTTTTTCTGTGCTTTTCCCAGGCACCCAGTTACGTGCTCTGCCACAGCAACTGCAGCTCCCTGGCCAGGTGTGGGGGCACAGCACCATCTAGGGGTGACTTGGTAGCAGAGCAGTACCTTTCCTAGGAATGTCCCCCAGCTCAGTGAAGGCTGTCCTGCGAGCTTTTCCCATGAAAGTAACCCTAGTCTAAAGGAGGAACATTGAAATCACAGTTTGCCACAGTGTCCTCACGGGCTTGTAGGAGTGGCAGCTGCCAGCATTGAGATTCCCATTGAACTGAGTTTCAGGAATCAGAGAAGCAGAGGAGAGCTGGGGCTAGGCCTGAGCACTGTCTCCCTGAGGGTATACACAAAATACCCTTACTTTTTATGTGAATGCCCTTAATAAGATTTAATGCCTTGTTGGGTGTGATGGCACTCGCCTGTAATCCCAGCACTCAAGAGGAGCTGAGGCAGGAGGATTGTCATGAGTTTGAGGCCAGTCTGGGCTACACAGTGAGTTCAAGGCCAGCTTGAACTACATAGTGAGACCTTGTCTCAAAAAAAAAAAATCTAGCGTCTTATGTATGCTCAGCTGCATGGCAGCGTGGTTGTACAGCTGGCACTTAGAGGCCCCAGCAGTGCAGATCCTGTTTCTCCACACCCTTGTGTTAGCCATTTCTTGTTCTGAATCTACCTGTCCCCTAGATGTGAAGTGGCAGCAAGGGGTTTTGGTTTGTGTTTCCTGATGGCTGGCAGTGCTTAGCATTGTTTCTTGTGCTTATTACCAGGGATGTGCCTTCTTTGGGGAAATATCAGTTCAAGACCTTGGCCATTTCTAATAAGTTTGGTTTTTTATTGTTGAGTTGAAAGAGTTCTATAAAGAACTCCTAGACCATGGTAAGATAACATGATTTGCAAATATTTTCTTCGATTCTGTGGGTTACCTTTTTCATTCTGTCAATACTGTCCCCTGATTTATGAGAAACAGGTTTTGAAGTGCTGTTAATAGGCCAGGCAGAAGGATGGCCTAAAAGGAGCCACTGATGCCTGAAAGGGGATGCTGTGTGGTGATCCTGAAGGGTAGATTCTGCACGCATGGGTACACACACACACACACACACACACACACACACACAGAAACACAGGCATAGACACACTCTTCATGTGAGAATGACACCTGTGTATAGAAACTGCCCATTTCCAAACCCCTATGGAGCAACAGTTATTAAAGGCAAGAACTTAGCTGATCATGGTGGCCCACACTTATAATCCCAACTCTCGGGAGGAGGCTGAGGCAGGAGCATCTTGTTCTGAATCTCCCTGTCCTCTAGATATGAAGTGGTAGCATGGGTTTTGGTTTGAGCCCAAGCTTGGCAACTTAGTGACTTAGTGAAATCTGTCTCAAAAAGTACTGGGAATGTAGCTCAATGTAAAGGGCTTGGGTTCAATGTGCAGAAGTACTGGGGGAAAAAAAGGGTAAAAACTTCATATGTTTTTAAGGCTTGCATGACAATGGTGACTGAGTACTATAGGTAGGTGCTTTTGGAAAGGCTCTGATTTTGCCTGTAAGTTAACTATCCAGTGCTGCCTGCTGCCACCAATTTGTCTTGGACTGACCTTTTCCCATAAAAGTGTAAAAACTAACCTTCAAGGTAGAGTAAGCATAAGTTCTCTGGAAAGCTCTCCAGAAAAACAGCATTTTAAAAGATTACTTTATGCTTAGCTGGGCATGGTAGTTCAGGCCTATAATCCCAGCACTTGGGAGGCTGAGGCAGGAAGATCACTGGAGTTTGAAGTGAGGCTAAGCTACATAGTGAGTTCAAGGCCAGCCTGGACTATGTAGTGAGGCCCTGTATCAAAGTAAAATTAAAATAAGTAAATAAATAAAAGATTGTTTAACCCTTGACAGTGCTTTAAGCACACTCCAGTTGCCAGCACCAGGGGGAAGCTGTGGTGAACCCAAGCACTGGGAAATGCCTCATCCCTTGAGTGTTCAGCCTTATAAATCTGTACACTGTAGGTCAGAGTGGAGATTAGCTGTCCTCCTCTAGGAATGTTAGGCTCAGAGCCTCAGGAGAGGGTGGCACAGGTAACGTGCAGCTGATGTCCTGTCCTGACCCCCATAGTTGCCATGTTCTGGGGTGGGGTCTCGAGAATGCCAAAGCCTAGGGCAGTGAGCATCCTGCTCCTGAGCAGGTCACTGTGGGAATAGGGAAGCCTTTTATCTACTTTGCAGCAGACTTGGGTAAGAAGTTGCTAATGGTCTCCTCCCCCATGCTTCCTCCCAGGAATTGACTACAAGACAACCACCATCTTGCTGGACGGCCGACGCGTCAAGCTGGAGCTCTGGTGAGTCAGGGTGATCAGATGGAGACAGGGAAACCAAGTGAGAAAGCGGAAGGTGCCCAACTTACTCTCACTTGCAATAACCATTTAAACAGAACCTGTTCAAATTGGATTTTGCTCCATGATGGGAAAAACAAAGTCTAGGGCGTGTAGTTCTGATAGAGCCCCCTTTCCTTTTTGCCTATCAAATCTTGTTTCCACAGTGGCCACATCCCTTTTCTATAACCTTTTATAGTCTTCACCTTAAAGATCATATCCCAGAACTTCAAAGTCAAAACATGAACACCCACAGGTCTAAGATTGTCCAATTAGTGTCGTCCCAAGCTCCCAGGCCCAGTGGGGAGACTCACTTGACAGACAGATAAATGTGTGTGCCCTCTGCTGCCTGCCTAGGTGGTATAAAGGCTGGCATGATATGTGCATTTGGTACCTTTCTGGCACAGCCCATCTGTGCCACCCTCCCCTGGGTCTCCCCAGCATGTTCAGGGAGAGCTGTAGAGTAAGAGAAACTGGGATGCAAGCTTCTTACAAAGGGATCACATTTGCACCCAGCAGGGTCCCACGGCTGTAATTCTCCTTACTTTCCTCATGTGTTTCAGGGACACATCGGGCCAGGGCAGGTTCTGTACCATCTTCAGGTCCTACTCCAGGGGTGCACAGGTAAGACCAGCAGTGTTCTTTGTTGTCTTTCAAATGGATGCTTTTCCCGAATGTTTTGGGGAGGGGGCAGTTTTTGAGGCAGGGTCTCACTAGGTAGTCCAGGCTGGCTTTGAACTCACAGCGATCCTCCTGCCTCAGCCTCACAAGTGCTGGGATTACAGGCATGTGCCTCCACTCCTGGCTCTCCTGATGGTTTCTGAGTTGCTTTATTCCTTCCTCGTTATTTTTATATCTGAACTTCGGATTTCCCCCATTTGCAGGGTATATCCTCCTGTGGCCCCCTCTGATTGTGAGAACCTCACCTCCCACATCACCTGTGCCAGGTGGTGCCTAAGTCCCCAGTTTGCCAGCTGTCAGTGTTGTCTTCACAGCTGCAGAATGTTCCCTGAGTCTAGCACAGCCACCACAGTGGCCTCCCTAAGTTGTTGAAATGCAGCTCATTCACCAGGGGTGTTTTCCCTATGTCTGCCCAGTACCCTTCAGAATTACAAGGCTCCTGGGGGTGCCCAGGACTGGATTACAAGTTATGACTGCAGAGTAGAAGTATTGAAGGTGGGCTCTGAACCAGAGGCCACATCAGATCTTCAGGAGTGAGATGTGGCAACAGCACAGAGCAGGATGTAGGGGCTTGTCCTGCCTATGGAGGAGCACTGTATATGCATGGATGTTGTATGGTTGTGTGTACAGAGTCTGCGCTGGTGTGAAGGGCACACTTGTCTTGTTTCCTGAACCCCCCAGCATGCTTTTTGATCTGCTTGTTATGCTGAGGCTGGAAGGGAGGGAAGTCATGAACAGACTGCTGTACACATGGTGCTGTTTCAGTGTGAGGGATGTGCCTGGGAACTCTGTCTCACTGTGATGCATGCCATTATTTGTGAAAGAGCCAGAGAAACCCTGAGGGTTAGGCTCCACCCCACGCAGTGTCGTCAGCCAGGAGCAGGTCCAGGCAGCTACGGATAATGCTTAGTCTGGAGTCTGGAAACTTTCAGAGAAAGGTCACACGTTCAGGTGCATGTTCCATGACTTCTGCCCTCAGGTGAGTCTGCTCCAGATAGGACCCTGTGCCTATGGCTGCCTGCCTCTGTGCATGACATCCAGGGGCCCAGCCTGACCTTCTTCCTGCCACTAATAGACTTTATAGCATTTCTCCCACAGGAGGCCCAGGGGAAGAAAAATGTGTGTGTGTGTGTGTGTGTGTGTGTGTGTGCGTGTGTGTGTGTGTGTGTGTGTGTGTGTGTGTTGGGGGGGGTGCTGGAGGTGGATTAAAGTCTCTGAGGTAGGGGTTGGCAGGGTCGGATTAAAGTCACTGAGGTGTTGATGGGGTCAGATGGAAGTAAATGAGGGGATGTCGGGACTGAGGTGAAGTCGATGAGGTGGGTGTCTGTAGGACTAGATTGAAGTCATCGAGGTCATTGAGGTGGTTGTAAGGGGTGTTGGATTAAAGTCACTGAGGTGGGTGTTGGCCTGGGCTGGGTTGAAGTCAGTGAGGTAGATGTTTGCAGGGCTGGGTTGAAGTCTCTAAGGTGAGTATTGGCAGGATTGAGTTGAAGTCTTTGAAATGAGTGTTGACAGAGCTGGATTGAAGTTACTGTGGGTGTTGGCAGGGTCACTGAGGTATTGGGAGTGTCATATAGAAGTGGCTGAGATGTTGGAAGGGCTGGTTCTGCCTGTTGTAGCCAAGGCTCCCTATATGAAAGCTGCTTAGGTGTGACAAGAGGTGAGACACAATCTGCCTGTGGACTTATTCCACTTGCAGAAAGCATGTTTGACCATTTGTCTGTATTGAAGTGTGATCAGCATCAACTCTGTTGTCTCCCCTCTGCTGAGGATGGGGTGGAGAGAAACACCCAGCTAAGGAGGGCAGCACCTGTTCTAGAGTCCTGCAGAAGGCCCGAGTGCTGCTTGCCAAGCTCTGTGGCCCACCACTGTCCCCCACCTGGTACCCACAGTGGGTGTCTTCTGCCCAAAGTCTCACTGGAGTTGATCCTTAGGTAATCAGAGACCATCAGGAAGCCCTGAGGGATGTTCCTCAGTGTTGAACACTTGTTACTATCCCTTTTCTGGTACCATAGGTGAGGGTGATTTAAGGGGGAAACCATAAGGCACAACCCTAGGCCGCCTCCAGATGACCGGATTGTGAGGGACACAGGGGCAAAGGGTGCATTCCCCAGGGGTTCTTTTTCTATTAAAGAAAGAAGAGTATCTATCTTTTACATCTACAAAAAGATTTTTATTGTCTTCCTTTTGACTATCAGCATTTACTAATTTTCCACAATGAATATATACAGGGGCCAGGGATTTAGCTCAGTGGTTCCACTGCCTCGCAAGCACAAGTACCTGAGTTCGATCCCCGGTACCAAAAAAATCAAAATAAAAAAAATGTTCACAATAAATATATACAGTATGGTCAAAATATATGAACGTTGAAATTTTAATAATTTTATTACAATAAAAGACACATTGAAGTTAATCCCTTCAAAATACTCTTCAGACACACTTGTGCTATCATTCTTGCCACTTTTTCATTTGTTTTTTGAGACGAGTCTTGCTATGTAGTTCAGGTTGGCCTTGAACTCACTGTGTAGCCCAGACTGGCCTTGAACTTGTGGCGGTCCTGCCTCAGCCTCCTAATTGTTAGAATTACAGGTGTGCACCACCATGCCTGGCTCTTGCTACTTTTTTTTTTTTTTTTTTTTTTTTTTTTTTTGGTACCGGGGATCAAACTCGGGACCTTGTGCTTGTGAGGCAGGCAGCAGAACCACTGAGGTAAATCCCCAGCCCTCTTGCCACTTTTTGAAGCAGTTCTGGAAGTCTTCTTTTGTGAATGTCTTTATAAAGTAGGATTAAAAAATATGGTGAATATTGCTGCCACATGCCATCCCATGAAAAGACAGGCTTGTAAAACAAAAACAATTGGTGTATCCTCACCCACTTTGTTCACCATATCTGGCACTGTGCAACTTCTGGCTCATTCCCAAAATTAAAAGGACCATGAAAGGTAAACATTTTGAATTCTGGACATTAAGGTAGCAAGAACAACACAACTAATGACATGAAAGAAGGCAGAAGTGATGGTGCACACCTGTAAGCCCAGCACTCAGGAGGCAGAGGTACAAGGATTGCAAGTTTGAGTCCAGCCTGTCCTACATAGTGATGTGGTAGACACTGCACGAGAGGCCACTCGCACCCAGGCTTTGTGTGAGCACCGTGTCTGGAAGTGAGCAGAGACTGAAACCGGGGAAGATTTCAGCAGCTAGCTGGGAGGGACGTTAGGTTTTTGTAGGTCTTTAGAAGTAGGGCTATGGTCGTCAGTGAAATGTTTATGATTCAGGGTCCAAGGACAGTCAGCACAGGTGTGTACACAATACTGGACTCTTGAGAGCCGGGGAGATTGTACATTCCATCCTAAATTTGCTTTATGGCCATCCGTTCTGTCTGTCAAGGATGGCCTATTGTTTGCTGAGAGTTGCATGTTTGCCATGAAGGTTTCATTCGGGCCAGGCATGACAAGTGAGTTCAAGGCCAGCCTGTCTCCAAAAAGGAAAAAAAAAAAAGACATGAAAGAGGACTTTGCAGAGCTGTTTCAAAAAGTGACCAGAATGATGGGATAAGTGTGTTCAAAGTGAGAGAGTATTTTGAGGGGAGTTAATGATAATATCATCGACTGCAATTTTTTAAACATTTAAACACTGTATTTCTCTTTTTTTTGTTGTTTTTGCTGTTTTTGGTTTTTTGGGTTTTTTTGGTACCAGGGATATTGAACTCGGGACCTTGCACTTGCAAGCGAGGCAGCGGCACCACTGAGCTCAATCTCCAGCTCTAAACACCGTACTTTTCAGTCATACCTCATATGTTTATGAAAAGTAGAAAATTAGAAATGCTGAAAAAAACAAAAGAAAATAATACAATAAAATATATTTTGTAGATGTAAAAGATGTATAGAAAAGGGCCGGGAATGTAGCTCAGCAGTGCAGTATCTGCCTGGCAAGCAGGAATCCCTCAGTTTGATGTATAGAAAAGAAAACAAGAGAGTATTTAACTTTGGTGACAGCAGGGCTTGGCTGTGGTGTTCTACCTCTCTGCCAAGAGGGGTTGTGCTGGATATACAAAGACCTCTGCGGTCACTTCTGCTCAGTACGTGTGAAGTCTTACAAGCTCTGTGTTTACCAGACAGTTTTCTGGGAAGCAAAGTCTGTGTCTTATTTCATTATTCTTTCCAAAGTGTCTAAGCCAGGCATGGTGATTCATGCCTGTAATGCCCCATGAGAGGCTGAGTGAGGCAAAAAGATTTCCACCAGTTGGAGGCCACCCTTGGCTACCCAGTGAGTTCGAGGCCAGTGTGGTGTACATAGTGAGACTTTGTCTCAAAACAAAAAGTAACAACAGCAAACAAACCCCAAAGTGTCTAGCGCAGTCATTGTTTTTGTTTTGATTTGTTACTTCTAGAACTTCTTAATTGTTTCTTGGCTGAGAGGAGCAAATTGCAGATCCTAAGTGCGCGTCTTGGCCTCAGATGTGGCATAGTGAGAACTTCCCAGTGGCTTTGTCCCTGATAGAAGCCCCCAAACCTGTCCTGTATCTGTGCATCCTGCTGGTAAAAACAGACCTTAATTCTGCAGCAGTGCTTCTCTACACAGTCCTTAACAGCATGAACCCCTTTTCAGGTCAAGTGTCGTTACTCTTCTATCCTTTGATAAGTCCAGAGAGGACTTGGCAGGTCTTCCAAAACCTGGGTCTCGTAGAGGGCACTAACAAAGGCCACTGGCCACTCTCGTCACCACTCACGTAACACTGTCTTGACGCCTCCTTCAGAATCCCTTTACATTCCACCAAGAAGCCACAGTCATTCTCCCCCGTGAGCCAAGTTCATGTGTTTTTCTGTGGCTTCTGTGCCACTGACTGGGGAAATGAATAGATCATCCTAGTGCAGGTCCCTGGGGCTTGGTGTTTGGAGGGGAATGGGTACACCTGACTATATCTCCCTTATGGCCACACCAGCC